ATAATTCGTCTAAACAAATACTTGGTTACATTATCGTTGTTTTTATTTGATGGAAAGCATTTACTCTTGCATTTCACATGCCGCCAGCCACTTTGATGCTAAACTGATCTACGTGAGCTCAAAAAATTGTTGTCTATTCACATGACACGATACTGTATAGACACATAAGAGATAAGAAAACTTCTGGAAAGTGGAAATTAAATACAAACGGCGTGCTTACGCATGACAAATAAATTCCGTTTACGGCAGCCGATGGAACATTTTTTTTATGCGCTGTTGTTCGTAAAGTGTCTACCTTTTTTACCTCTTTTTTTTATCTTATCGACGATAATAAATGTGCATTACATCAAATGAAACAGTGTAACAAGCAGATGAGTAAACACTCCGTTGACGTTGACAACAAAAACAATTTTGCACACTCACTTTAGGTTGATACATTTAGCAAAAACAATATTGATTTTTATCGGTAATCAAATAAGTGCACTCAATTGCGGCAACAGTTTAGGTAAATAAAAACAGAAATGTTCTCTCTCTATTTTCCGGGAAGTCTCGAACCGAAAACGGGCCAAACGTATCCATAGTTGACAACAATACGCTATCTCATATGTGGAATCGTTAAATGTCATAGACCTTATTATCGAAGAGGGAAAAAGGGAATAAGAAGATATGGTTCGATACAACTGTCTGTAGATTGTATCTAGTGGTTGTGTATGGTCGGTCATGGTAAGCAGTTTGTGTTGTGATGAGCCATTACTAAGAAGGTTCAAATGTGCGGGAAAAGAAATTAAAAAGTGAAAATGTTATTGTCTCAGCAGTGATTTCACTTGAATTTTCATCGCCATCAACCATTAACGCAACTTAATTGCCATGGTTAATGATCTCTTCAGCGGCAATGTGCTACTTGTTTGGGCTTTTTTTGGACAATCATCAATGGTGTTTATGCATCGCCTACAACGGTTGACGGGAATTAAGTGCTTGGAATTGATATTCCCTGATGACATCGGTCATGACATTTAAGTGCCCATTGTCTCTCACTGATTCCACCGCATCGATATAGTTTGTGCGATGTCACATTTTCTCTCAGGTCATTATTTTAAAATGTATACATTGAAATGCCATTTGATGCCAAAAGACACAATTTTAAGAAACCGTTTCTGCTGCGCTGCTATGGTTGTTGTTGGAAGTGATTTCTTTAATGGTTCGGGAAAACGCCCAATTATTGACACATGCCCGTGTGAGTTGCAAACTTTATTTTCGCAATTTATATGGAAACGTAATGGAAATAGTTTTCTCAAACTGCATATTGAGTTCACACCATATGTGATATATTGAAACGAATTCAGACTTTCTGGCTGCAAAATCCATCTGTGCATTGAATCCAATTAAGTCAAATGGTTTTTGTTTTCGTTCCATCGAAATAGGTCAACTAGATTCAGTATGTGACACTTCTTTTGGTTTTAAGTATCTCAGTTTTATTTCGATGGCGACAAAAACTAAAACGCTTTTTAGCACTACATGAAAAAATACTTCGATTATTGTTCTTGTTGTTGTTCCTGCATGAATTTTCCAATGGTAAAATAGCTAATGCTAAAACATAGACTCATCGCAAATTGCATGCTCCGCAACAAATGTGTCACGAATTGAATCGGTTGAAAGACCCAATGAAAAAAGGGCCTACAAAATCGATTGGATATCGAAACGTACTTAGCAATCAGCTTATGTAACAGCGACAAATTGAGAATGTGTCAACGTGTGTAGAGTCATTGACACCAATCATGCACCTGTGTGATAGAGAGATGCCAAGTACATTGAATTCTTGTTTTTTTTCTTTTCATACTAATAGTAATTACTATTAAACCCAAGTACACAACATTCCCTATCCATCGTGTGTGTGCTTGTGAACGCGCGATTTTTTCTACATTTCCTGCCTCCAAAGTACTTGGTTCGATGCGGCTTCACAATTCGATTTTTATGCACATAAATAGTAAGTTGCATACACTACACATACAGCGAGTCAAGCGCACGCAATTCTCTCTGCACTGTGAATGCATCGCAGACTTGTAAATCTTAGACGTGACATAATATGCAAGCATTCACACAATTTACGGCTTTCTAATCTAATAAGAAAAATGTATGCGACAGAGAGTCGAGTCGCGCCATAATTCCGGATTCAACAGTAAAACAGCGGCGCATCTTCCGGTTTGTCGCCAACGATGGTTTCCTTGATGGCTATGCACAGTGTAGTAAGCATGCACTAAATATAGGAAGAAGATCAGCATGATAATCGACAGAGGTCTTGACTACTGAACGATTGTTCGAGAGTCTTCACGAAATTGCCACACATAAATAAATGTGTGCGAAGGCATATATAAATCATTATCATTTTTCCCTGTCGCAGGGAAAAAACGCGACACTTTAACTACGGCAATTCACTTTCAATTTAGCGCTTGAGCCAATCCACAGTGACAGCGGCCCAGGCACATGTCATACAACATAAACACGATTCGACAAAGGTATCGCAAGCCAATCGTTAAATACGCAGCAATTTATGCTCATTGATTTATTTCATTTCGTTCGCTGAAAATGTGATCATCTTCTCGTTACACCGATTTCCCTTTCACTTTAGCAATTTATAAATTAATTAGGAAACTTTAATCGCGAACGAATTGAGCTATAACAAGCTATGAATATTTAAATCGAGTTTTTTTCCTTCTTCTTCTTCTTCTTCTTCTTCTTCTTCTTCTTCGCGTATAATCAGCGGACGGTTTAATCTCATGAAATTGAATTTTCCCAATTCAATTAAATCGCGCAACGGTTTATCGTCACACAGTGGCCAAGTACAAAAAGCATGAGTTCATGTTCAAGGCCTCTCATCCGAAGCAAGTGAAAAGAAAACGGAAAGAAGCTACAAAAAATGGCTAATCACCAACGATATTGCAACTTCCAAGATTTTGGAATGATGTCACTCAATCGAAACAAGAAAAATTATGGAGCGATTTAGAGCGAAAGTATATGTCATTATTTATTCCAAACAGATGAATTAAGACAGAATTATACAGTTTTTTTTTCGGACTCAAAACAACTGTCGTTTATTCGTTATTTTTTTGCAAGTTAATGTTTGCATTCGATTCACCGACTATTGTATGATTTAAGGAGAGAGAAAGAAAAAACACATTACTGCTGATTTGATCATCACGAATGTGACTCTTTTTTTCTCGTGCTGTTTTGTTAACAAACGCGACATGCTCGAGTGTCACCATAGATCTATTACTGCGCCTCACTTTTTACACACAATAATTCGCGTTATGAGCACGGCACCCAAAGACCCATGGCACAATCCACTGCGTGCAAAGTTTCAAATAACACGCACTTTTGCAATTGCTGCACTTTTTTCTCCTCTCTGTTCATTCAAAATCCATAGTCGCCTATTCTACAATGTATTCGTAAATACCGTGGATATTAAATGTCATTTGCTTGACGAACTGTGTGCGCGAGCTCTACGATTTGAGGATTTAGAAGAGAAAAAAAAATGCTCAAGAAACATTCGTTTTTCATTGCAATTGCTCAGCCAAGTGAATTCCAGCGTCTTTTTAAGCCACTAAGTTACGATAATTCATGGAAAATTATTTACAAACCCAATCATTGAATAACCACACAAACCGACAAAACCAACTAATAAAATTGAATTATTTAGATAAATAAACAATAACCCGATAGTTTTTACATGAATTATTAGTTTAGACAGTTGGAATTGGAAACGTAACCAGCATTCATTGCTTGCTCACTTTTTGGTCTTTGTTCGTTAATTTTTTTTTACCATTAAATTACAATAAATTAAAATAATTACGTTTTCGACAAGTGCACACACGATGAAAAAAAAACGAAGAAAAAAAATACCATACTCTCTTCATTCGACGATATACGAAAGAAGGAATGAAAAAAATAAATACAAAATCATGAAAGAAAACCAAAATTGTTTATTTGTTTTCGCTTTTAATGCGCGGGAATTTTTTCGCCGCTGCCGCCTGTGTTTGTGGAATTCAATGAATACGCTAAAATCTACTGCTTTTAGACGGTTAACCATACGTCAAATGACTTTGTATTGTGCTAGGTATTGTGTGTTTGCGCGCGCGGCGTCTGTTTGCACGTTATAAACAACGCTTCACGTTTCCTCAATTCATGAAAGCTTCATTTTGTACATATGCGCAATGGAATCAAATGAATATACATATTATCAATTTTTTCCCGGTACTTTGTAACGCATTGTTATTTTCGAAAGAATCATTTTTTTACCTTGTCTTTTTCTAATGAAATTGAAACACCGTAGCCTCAAGCAACAACAAAAAAACCTTCTGTAAATACTAGCACACACTTTTGACTCTTTCGCTTTTTATGGAAGAGAAAAAAACACGGCGCCAGATATTTTGGCGGCTTTATTATTTTTCATCATAGTCGCAGGTATTGAACAGATCACATTACGGAAAGCGCATTCCGAAAATGCCAGATCACTTTGGAAGTGGATGATTGACGGTGATTTGCTTTTTTTACTCTATGTCTTGGTTTATAGCTCCACTGGAATAACTACAGTTGACTTTTTCTTCCAATTTATTTTCTACGCCTGAATAGTGTTATGGCTAGTAAAAATATTGTCTCATTGTCCAGACAGAATTAATGCTTGTTGATGACACTCGATTGATTCAATCAGATTAGGGAGATTTACATCATAGCCAAATGTCAGTTGGGTGATTAGCATAATTGTTCTCAGTCAATATAATAATGGTACAGTTGGCTCGTTGATGTTTCATTTCAACAATGCTGTATTCCGTAGAGAGCATCGAAATCTAAATTGTCTGTGCTTTTAAGCAAGATTTCTAACGAATTGCATTCCAATTTTTGGTAGTAGTCTACTCATTGTCAAACTGACAAGTTCACAAATAAACGAAGAAAAAATGTTGAAACACATTTTGATTTGGATATTCTTCATATTCGTTCTAATAAGAATAAAAGTCATCAGCGGTAACGTTTCAAAAATTGAATCAAAGTCAAACGCACTCGGAAGCCTGGATAAATTAAACGTGTTAGCCAAAATGCAAGCTCCTTTTGTTATGTTTGATCCAAAATCGGGATATATCACGGGCATCGACGTTCTTCTATTGAAAACAATTGCAAAGAAACTAAATTTGCAACTTGAATTGCGAATAGTGAACAATCTAACGGCCAACGCAGAATCTCTTTGGGAGTACGTACTTTTAACAACAAAGTTTATTATTTTTTCTAAAATTCCCTCTTTCGATATGTTTTATGCATAGAAAATATGATGTAATAGCTGGAAATTTCGGTCTTAATCGCTACGACAAATTCATATCAACTGTACCGTACATTCAGGATGACATTGTATGGTGTGTGGGTCACGCTCATGAGATTCCACACTGGCAAACTTTATTTTATTTTGTTGCGGATGCTCAAACTAGAATCATTGGTTTTCTCTTGTTCTTCACTTCCATCGCTTTTGCTTATTTGTTGGTCACATTTGAACAGAAACAAATCGATATGTGGACCAGTTTTTTTGTCGTATTTCAACTCGTTCTTGGGCTTACTCCTCCATTCGAAGTGAAAAAAACAATGATACGTTTCCTATACTTTATGTATTTGTTAATTTCATTTTGGATCGTTACCACAGTTCTAGCATTTTTGACAATGTTTATGACCGCCACGATTTCTTACAAGCAAATCAGCTCCACTCAAGAAATAATTGATACAAATTTACGTTTGGCTGGCGATTCAAATGTTCTCAGTCATTTAGAATTTCGAAATTTGGTAAGATACAATATTTGGAGACGAATTGATATAATCCAACTCAACTGATTTATTTTCGCCTCAAAAGGTTCCAGAAAACGAAATTCGGTCATTTGAAGTATGTGATGACATTGAGAAATGTTTGAAGCGATTGACATTTGACGATAGTCTAGCGGTCGCAACGTCTCAACGGTACTTGGAATCACTGAATATTCGGCGCGATATTTTCTGTTTCGATACCTCGCAGAATATCTACAGTTATTTGAGAAAGTTTTTGATCCATACCGACTTTAAACTGAAGGATAGCTGCAACAATGCTGTGAAGTGGATCATGGAGGCTGGTCTGATTGCGAGATGGAAAAAAGATTTCTCATTTAAACGTGATATTGATATCGAAAATGCAGAAGTACACTCAGTAAATATTGAGGATTTATTGGGAGCTCTAATACTTTTTGGCGGCTTCTTTATGTTGGCAATCATAGTCGCAGGCATCGAACAGATCACTTTTCGGAAAGCTCATTTTGGAAATCCCAAATCATTTTGGAAGTGGATGAGTATGATGATTGACGGTGATAGGCATTTCTTACTGTATGATTCGGCTTATGGCTCCAAAGGCAACATGAAAAACTAATGAAAAACGCATAAATTTATTCGTTGTATAAAAATGTACCGTCCACCGTATTTGTTTGAAGTATTCAGATCATTGCACATGATTGTTATAATGTTTTGTCCGACTTCTAATGAACACAATGAGTTTTATGGTCTTTCTGTAGATGAAATCAAAAAGGAATTAAAAACAATAAAAGAAGAAATAAAAACTACTGTTGGATACGGGAAAGATGAACACGACCATATATGCATAAATGAAAACGAAAATGATATTTGTTTTATATTTTTTCCCCAATGAATAAAAGGACTCATCATTTTCTCATTAGTACACTCTAGATAGTAAGCCGTACTTAGTAACCACGGTTTACTGAACAGTTACACGTTAACCGTTTGTAGAACAGGATTGTACTTGTAAGTGAAACAGAGAGAATTCTAAAATGTTCAATGTATTTCTCATGGTTATTACCAGTGTAATTTCGAATTTTGTTAACGGTTATGAATAGTGAACACAATAAAAATTATAAACAATGACTCCACTTCAACTTGTAATTATAAATAAGAACACGAAACTTTGCATATTACCTAATGTACAAACGGAAGTATGGAGTTGGAGATGCATTCATTTAATAACAAACGATTTATTGAGAGCTTTCTTTGCACAATTTTTCAATTTACTGGCGCTATCTCATTTGCATAGTGCTAACTGTGGAAGACGGGGAACAAAAAGCATTTCAAATGAGTTTAAGACAATTTTATCGAATCTTCAGAACATTTTGGAATTTAACAAGCATGGTAGTCAAAGGAGAAGCTATAGTCTACCATTCATACAACCAGTTGAACAATTCTTACTGGAATGGAGTTTCCCATTGTATGGGATTTTCATTGTGTGATAAACAAGCCTAAGGCTATCCTTCAACAATTCTCAGTAGTATCTCAAGTGTGGTAATTTGTTATAATGGTACTACATGGCCTTTTAAACGGCGTTGAATGCGCAAATTATCAAATCTATGATTTAAAATGTGTCATACCAGTGAATTAGAAATCTCAGTTTGCTCCATTAGAAAGGGTTTTTTTTTCTTTCAAAGTGTCCCAAATTTCACGCCAGATGTATATTTCTTCATTTCCGCTTAACGTCTTCGTCTCAGGCTCATCTTTCAGCATAAACAAGACACATGGCTATGATAATGATAAATCTTTTAATTTTTAGCATGAGAATCAGCAAATTGTGAAGAAGAAGAAGGAGAGGAAAACGAAAGAAAAAAGAGTAATCTCTGGAGACATGATACTGTTATGTAAATGATGGATAATATGTTTAAAATGCAATGAAATAACAGAGCCTTTGACATAATCATAGACGCATAAATGTTTTTAATCGTACGGGATTTGTGCTTTCCTCTCATGCAACAATGGTATGGCTTGAAGTTTTAATACACATATAAAATCGTTTAGCAAACGAAGAGAGAAAAAAAAAGAAAGCAAAAGAATCTGTATGATATGCACGGAGTGTGCGCATGAGAGATGGAGAAAATGTGAGAAGATTGATAATTATGGGTAAATTATATGAGTTCTTTATCATCATATTTTATATATGCGCTTTTATTAATGTTATGAAACAATCGTCAAGCGCGTAAGTTTGCATGTAAAACTCGTTGGGTGCTAGATGTTTGAGTGTATTCACAACACAATGAAGTGAACAATTACAATGTGAACAGTGTTTGAATGCGTTCATTGCGTCATCACACGCAAAATTACTGCGTACTAAAATGCACACGTACTGCTTCACCATTTATGGTTCCAAAATGATCGAGCATTTCTTTTGAGTTAAGGTCAGTCAGAATTGACTGAACGAAAAAAACACGCACACAATTCGTAACATGTTAACATTGACTGCGTTCTGTTTTGTGTGAAATCATTCAAGGGAAACATAGTTTTCTTTTTTGGGCAATTTGACCATTACGTGCCTGCTTCTTTTTGTTACGGGGCTCGAGCCAAAAGAGAGCAAAATCGCAATAATCATATGTGCTTCCCAGCTTCCGGCCTGATCGTTTTTGTTTTGCCTGGCATTTCCCTTCTTCAATCAAATACATTTCGATTCACATCAAAGAAGAAAAAAACAACGTCTAAATTCTTGCTATTCAACGTAACCTAATGCAATCATCGACGCCAAAAATTACGTGTTACTTCGTCAAGCAAACAAACATCGAAAATCAGTGACCATCTATGAACGGAATTTCTACGGCACGTTGTTTTATGCGAGGGAGAGAGAGAGAGAGAGAGAGAGAGAGAGAGAGAGAGAGAGAGAGAGAGAGAGA